ATCCCAAAAGTCGGGATCCGTTGCCCGGGTTGCACCACGTGGAGGTGGGGGCAGGACTTTGCGAAGGGGGCATAAATAACTTACAAACACAAAACACAAACACGAATACCTGAGGCGCCGGCCTAAACCAGCGCCTTAGGTCCTCCTGCACCGGGCGGCGCGGCTGCCGCTGCCTTAGGCGTTCGGCTTCCTCCTTCCTTTTCAGGACGGATTCGGCGAACGCCTGGACGAGCCTCCACGTCTCCCGGCTTCCCAACATCAGGTCCACCAAGGACCCGACGCGGATCGTGGACCCCAGACGGGACTCCAGCGAGTCCCGTTCCTGGGCCCACGCCTCGCACCGGAAGAGGGTGTGCAGAGCGTTGTCTGCCTCTCCCGGGCGATCCTGGCAGTGGTCGCACGTCGGCGCGGCTGCCCTCCGAATACCGTGAAGGTATTCGTTGAAGCAGCCGTGGCCGGACAACACTTGCGTGAGACGGTAAGACATCTCACCGCGTGTCCGGTCCACCCACCTCTCCAGGCGGTCGGGTCCTATGAGGGACCTGGTCCACTCGCCTCTCGTCGTTTCCTCCGAGAGGCGAGCCCGCCACCGGAGCATGGTGGTCCGCCGGAGCGCCAACCATCTATCACTGATCTGACTACATATAACCCTAGTATAACGACTTTAAAATGCGACGATCGCTATTTGATCATCCTGACAGTCTACACTTACAAGCTATTATATTCCTTCTATTTTTATGTTTGCGACTCTAAAAAATGTGTTTGATTAATCAATCAGTTGGTATTTATAAATTATATTTTAGACCCCATCGTTTTATTGGTTTAGTATCTTAATTTGAATACGATGTAAACCTATAGGTTTACAGAGGATATTTGATTATGGGCATGTGATATTTCTTTTAAGTTGTTCAATATAGAATATTTGATTAAATATGACGTATTTAAATATCTGTATTGGGTTGTGAATGGCTGTTTCAGTTTATTTCATTAAGTACATGTATATGCTTTGTTATACTCTGTTATTGAATTGTACCGGGGTACATAATTCTGGCGCCTATTTTTTATGCATCGCTATTTTGAAAATATAAAAATAGTCTACAACTCTATAATTTCTATTACGTCATATTTCAATGCTGCCTGGGATACGTACACTTTGTACCCGCTACAATATCTAGACTACTAACTAATCAATAATTAGAACAATTGTATTATTATTAATAATAATAAACCAACAAATTAATTATTTAAAATAAAATATATTTGATTAAATTTATGTAATTTGTTAGCTTTTAGAAATATGTATTTTTTAATAATTTTTACCCCATTAATATTATTTTATTTTACCAATAGTTTAAATTATTTATTATAATATTTTACATAAAACATGTATTTTAATTATTTAAAAAATTAATTTTAATAGTTAATAATAAAATGCAGTAAATAATTTAATAGTGTTTCTTACACTATTTGTTAAAATTTTAAGTGAAACATTTTAGATTTTTATCTTTATATTTTCCAGACATTGAGTACTTGAAAACTGCATTACCTCCGACAATAGAACAATCATTTTTTACGTATTTGAAAAAACTCACTGCTAAAGATGTAACTCTTTATGCCATTGACGAAGGCTCCGTTGTATTTCCAAGGTAATTTAATTATAAATAAATTTATTGCATATCTTAAGGTTAACATGATTTATGGTACACTTGATGGTTTGAATACTGTCACTTCTGTTTGATAATATACAATTAGGTCAGTGATGAATAATTGTAAAGTTATTCTAAAAGTATTTTCAAATGTTTAATTTTATTGAAATCTTGTTTTTTTTTTAATCAAGCAATTTAATATTATAACTTATTAAATTTTTGACTTTTCTGCGATAATGTACTCTATAGAATTTGTTTATTATAATCAATATCAGTTAATACGCATGTATCTCATTAATATTTTGTATTTGCATATATAATATTTAATCTTATGATTTTAAAAAGTACCCTATAAGGCGCTTTGACTTTGATACGAGTTTATCAGTGGCGTCTCGTGGGTGCTGGTAGTAGGGATGTGACTTTAAATATAATACCACTAATCATTAGTATCAAAAATTGTCAAATTAAATATAATAAAACTAAACTTAATTCATATATTCAGTGGCGTATTTAGAAATTTATATTGGGGGGGGAGCACAAAAAGTGTTTATAAATAAAGTACCATAAAACGACTTTTTTTTTGCTCATAACTTTTGTTAACTCATATTTTAGATTTTTTTGAAAAAAATTCTGTTATTAGTTTTGAATCAATTTTTATTAATGAAAATATTTATTTTTATACAGTGTATAATTCTACGTAATAAATAATTCAAAAATAAGTGATAAAATTATCGGGACAACTGCGGGCGTTAAATTTTGCTCCCCAAGACAGCTTATCGACTAACATTTCATAAACCCATGTTATTATCGATAACTAAAAATTAACTTTCTAATGATATTATACATTATTACATTGCTTGATAAAATATTTACATGACTCAGTCAATGGGGGAGGGGGGGCACGTGCCCCTGTGCCCCTTCCACTAAATAAGCCACTTCACATATTATTATTTTAAAGGTCGCAGAAGAAAATAGAAATGAAGATAATAATAGTGATTATACAATTATAGCAACTGATAAAACGATGAGCGTACACGCAGTTATTTCTAAAAATAAATTACCCATATAGTAATATACTAAAATTTTTCCGTATGGACGACGCTGCCGGTCGTCTAAACACTACTCGTGTGTAAATACGTACCACCTACATATACTTCTGGTATCTGAGGGAAAAAACTTAAATGTTCGTAAACGATAAATGTATCTTATAATTTAAAAATTTGCATTTTTAATAAAAATGTAGAATTAAGAATATACAATTAATTTTAGTAGGGGTGCGATCGTCTCGTCGTCAAAACTACGAACCGCTACTGGAGTTTATTTAGCTGGGCTTATTATTATTTTTTAAAGATTTAAAATAATAATAATAATAATAATAATAGAAAGACTATCAGTTATAGCCACCATAAAACCTATTGTAGCCATTTAATATTTGGTTAATAGATCATGAGCTATACCTCTTATTCTTGAAACAGATTAATTTTTACAATAAAAATTAATCTGGTGTTTAATTAATTAATGAGTTTTAGTGCATGTTGGCTTAAAACCCCTTTAAAAATACTTCTAAAACAAATCAACTTAATTTGTAGCCATAAGTAGTATAGTGCCCAAAACTGGTGCATTCACTTTCTTAGTAAAAATAATAGTAACAATTTAAATATTTTTCTGAAGTATTAGCATTTTCGATAATTTTTAGCTTTGATGCGAAGGTATTAATTTTACTATGTGTTAATTATTTTTTTTTTTTGAGTCTGTCACTACTTTTTTTTGCTTACAAAGGTCTGAATAATCGAATTAAGAAAATTATTTTTCTTTTCTCTCTTCTTTTTTTCTGATAAATGTTTGCCATAGAGGTACCGAAATTTACAACTATTTTTTATAATATCTTCATAAAAATTTTAATACTAAATTTAATTGCTATAATAATTATTTATTCCTTTATTATACTTATAAATTATTACTTGTGATCAGGATATAATTAAGAAAATAGGAGTTGATTTGTTTTTAGAAAAACCCAACAAATCCTTCAAAAAGTTAAACACTATCTACAAAATTATAATGAAGCGTTTTGTATGTTAATGATTTTAATTACTCTCAGTTATTATCTGTACTTGTCCTAACTATTCTGCGACCCCACTGTGCTGGTTTTTTTTTATGGTGAGATCGATCGATTTTTTAATTTTTTTGTTTTTACCTTTTATTCTTTAAACTTAAGTCATAATATCCCAGTGTTGGGAAAGTTCCTTTTTAAATGGAACTCGTTCCGTTCCCCGTTCATTTTCTAAAATATGAACTCGTTCCAGATCCTAGTTCTTTATATTAAGAAGGAACTTGTTCCAGATCCAGTTCTTCCAAAATAAGAACTCGTTCCACTCTTCGTTCCTTTTATGTAACCAAGTTATTTAAAAAATTGTGGCAATGAGATCATGATAACGGTCATCAATGATTTTCATCAGCAGTCGAATACAAAACAAATTTGTAGTATTCCTTATCTAAAAGTATTCGAAAATTATATTTATAAGCAGGTAGTAAATGCTAACGACTTGTGTCAACGCGACCAATGTCTATTGTCTACATATAAGTTAGAAATAATAAATCAGAAAACCCAAAACCTTTAACATACAGAGTGTTCAGTAAGTCAGGAAACGGGTTTCTATTGTTCTCATTGTTTGTAACAATGAGAACAATAGAAACCCGTTTCCTGACTTACTGAACACCCTGTATATTAGTTAACAAGAAACGACGATAATATTTGGTACATTATTTAATATATGTACACATATATTAAATATTTTCTGTATACCTACATGTGATAATAACTCTATTTATAGTTAATTGATTTATTTAAACAGCCTACGATTTTGACTGGGTATACAGAGTGTTCAGTAAGTCTTGAAACGGGTTTCTATTATTCTCATTGTTACAAACAACACTGTTGTCTCAACACTGTAATATCCCCAATAGTAATATTCATTTTTATTAGTGATATTAGGTTTTTTAAGTAACTCACTTAAGTATGCTTTTATAATTGGCCGTTTTACTAATAACTCTATTAATTTTATTTAAATAGTTTGAGTTTTTATAATATAATATATTATATTATAAATTTATATAATAACATATATTATATTAGATAATCTAGTACAAACAAATCCGTGAGTATTGTGATAAATGTATAATTTTTTAAACTCTTTTTAAGCCCATAAAGGGCCGTAGCGGCCTCCCCCAAAGGAGGAGGTTTCTTAACTATTGATACTCCGGGACGGTTGGTTAGTCTGTCGCCTGAGAGAGGGATGGAGTCGCCAATTACCGAACTGATCTCTGGCTCGGCAAAGAAGCCGCCCGTGACCGAGTTTCGAACCCGTGTCAGTGCGTGTCAAGCACTGCCGCGTTACTGACTCAGCCACACCGTCCTTATATTTATAAAAAATATAAGTATTTTATTATACGACCGGTTTTGACAATAGTCATCATTACGCATACCAATTAATTTAACATTGAAAAAATTAAACATAATATAAACAAATACAATTATTGTATTGGATTATCTAGTTAAAGTTTAATATTAAAAAGAGTATTAAATTATTTTCCTACTATTGAATTTTTATATTTGAAAAATTTACGAAATTGTGAAAAATTTCACATTAATATAAAATAATAAGTTTAGCTGTTTTAAACGTGTATAAATTAGGTTTAATTATTATTTGTGAAGACTGAGAAATTCTGCGAAACGTTATTATTATATACATGCTAACAAATTAATATGATTATTATTAACTAAGTGGTTGAAATTTCATTAATTTTTGAACCAATAGTTTAGTTTTAGTCGATCATTATGCATTTTGACCTTTGTACAGTAAATTAGTATAATTATTATCAATTTATCATTTTTATTTATTTTAATGCTTTGTTAAAAAACTTAATATAATTAATCAATTATTGATTTATTACGTAATGCTTGTGTATTATGTATAGAATTAGGCATAATGAATTTTAATTATTATACTTCATTTATATGAAACGTATTAAAAACATTTCAAATTATCTAATTTAGTAATTTATTTAAGAAATAATAATTTCAGTTATCTTTTTTTTTTGTTTATTGAATAACTGCTTTTATAAAATTTTGTTTATTTAAGATTTTTAAATTTAAGTTTGAAGTATGTTTTACGAGATAAGTTATCGCGAATACTTTATTTAATGTGCATGTATTTATACTCTAATACAATTTAATCTTAAATTTACTACCAAATTTATCATAGCATTAATTTATCTTATATTTATTTATTTATTTTAAATTATAAACGGGTAAAAAAAACCCCTTTATCATTATATTATATATTTAATACTGAATACTATTCAAAAATTATTTGTTTTTTTTTTTAATATAACAATATGAACGCTTTTACAATTAATATATTACACTTTTACTAGTACACTAACTAATCATATTTGAAATATTAATAAAACGAGTAATAAAAATATTAGAGTAAGACAACTGGTCGGAGACGAAAATTTCTTTGTAATCAAAATTGGTACGGAAATAGGTGTATAAAGAATGAATTGGAAATAAAATTTAGTATTAAATTAAGAATTTAGAACTCCGAAGTCCTAAAAAAAACCCAGAATCCTTTTAAAATTCCAAAAGTCTATAATTTAGATTTTATTATGCATATCATTATTTTTTACTCGAATTTCAATAAATTTTGGAATATTTATGGTAAGTTATTTTGATGTTACAGAGTACCTTTAATTCGTGTAGAAGGACCATTAATTGTAACTCAACTTCTGGAAACGACTCTATTGACATTGGTTAACTTTTCTAGGTATGAAATAAAAGATCAGATAGTCATTTGATTGTTTGTTAATATACTATGAAATATTTTTGTTAAAATATTATTAAATTCATTTTTTAGTTTAATGGCTACCAATGCTGCTCGATATAGAATGGCAGCTGGTGACAATGTATCTTTATTGGAATTTGGTCTTAGGCGAGCTCAAGGTCCTGATGGTGGACTCTCGGCTTCTAAATACGCTTATATAGGTATGCATGTATTTTTTTACCACACTTGCTTTATAAAACTAAACATTTGGTGCGGTTGTAACTTCTTCAGTATCAATTATTACAATCGCAATGTGCTGGGTACTGGTTGTACTTGTTTATTGATTGCGTTTTACGTAGTGTCAGACTGTGACTGGTACTGAACCAATTGCGTATTGTTACATTTTTTATTTTACCGTAATCAACACTAAACTTGAATTTATTTCGTGCACCTGTATCAAAACACGAATACCTTACAAAATGCTTTATTACATTTTCGACGTTTGTAGTTTAATTTTTTATTTTCTGACACAAAATTTTTTAACGTGATATTCAATAGAGTTCGCTCTCTAAATAATTTATTTGTATTGGATATAATTTAGTGATAGGACTTTTATGTTTGGAGTCACGTGAAATAAGTATTGTTTTAAATGCAACACAAATATCTGACTTTCTATAATACAAATAATCATTAAATATGAATCCAATTAAATCGAATTTTTTTGTTACACAAAGTAAAATTATATTAAATAAACAATAAAATCAAGAGTATTATAATCTCAAAATCGAATTAGTATGTCGAAGTAGTTGATTAAAAATAGAAAAGTATCTAACTGTATTTTTAAAACTAATAAAAAAAAAAAGTAACCAATTTACAATTGCTTTTAAAACATTTAAAAATTTGCTCAAAAATTAGCTTGAAAAAGCTAGGCAAAATTTACTGGGAAAATTATTTACAATGATAAAATATTATTATAATATTATTTTAACCTCAGCACTAAATGTGAACCGATATACTTATTATATTTTACTAGTGACCCTTTTTAAATTTTACTCATTTTAATAATTAAATATTAGCTATATTTTTGTTATACTTTTTGTGTAAAATATTTATTGTGCCAGGTGCAATTGAATGCTCCTAATAATATCTGTAAATACGGTTTGAATGATCTTAGGTTGGAGCGTAGAACCAGCTAGATGGAGTCTAGTTTAAAATATAATTAATACTTTCATTTGTAATTATTTTATAATTGAAGTTTTAATTTATCTATAATACCATACTGTGTATAGTATAAGATTTTATTATATTATTGAATATATACATTTAAAATACATTCTTATGTATATTTGTAGGAGGGTTTGATGGAACAAGTAACTTGCTTGCTGGAAAAATGTTTAACATACCAGTTAAAGGAACTCATGCCCATGCTTATATAACATCATTTTCAGATCCTAGTGAATTAAAAACTAAGGTACTTGAATAGTAGTGATACGTTTAACGTAATATAAATTTTTGTATTTTGATATAATAAACAAAAAAGAGTTTTCTATACATAAAATGTACACATTTTAATGGGAAATTTAATGCTAAAATTTTCTCTAGTACTGCTTCTGAAAATTAAAGAAAATATCTTATCTTCAGTCAACACATTTATTTACTGACATAATAGTGGAAAATTTTCTTATTTACCAATTTAAAAATTAGTATTCTTGAAAATTTTAGAAATTTATATGTATTAATTTGTTAAAATATTTTTAGGGGTGGAGATTATTGAATTTAATTTTACTAAAAATTGTATTTTAGTTTAAACATAGATTATTTTAATGATGTCTTATGTATACTTATGTTATATATACATGTATGTATGTATATGTATAACATGGATTAGTTAATAATCTTTTAAAGAAAAAGATACATAAAAGATTTTACATACTTATTGCTATTTTTTTAGACTTTAAAAAATATAAAGAATGGCAAAGAACAAAATTTGATAGAACTTACATTATCATGGCGAACTAAAACATCAAAACTATTGAATATTTCTGAAAGTCAAGCTTCTGATGGAGAACTAGCAGCACTTGTTTCATTTGCCATAGCTTTTCCAGAAGGCTTTATTGCTCTTATTGATACATATGATGTTAATAAGTACGTAAAAAAAAAACTGAATGCATAATATATTATATAATGGAGTAAAAATAATGTAATTATGGGATTATTAATATTTTAAAACTAAATTATAATATTACATATAAAAATTTTTGTAAGTGAAAATTTAAAAATTTGTGGTAACTTAAAATTTATATTTTTTAAAATTTTTATCCAAAATTATTAATTTGTATTTAATTATTTTTCATATTTATTTATATTGTTAAAATGTTTATATTTTAAGTAACGTTTTTAGATAATTTTGTAATTAATTCTTTTTGGTCATATAAAAATTCATGTATAAATAATATTACCCATGAGTGATCAATTTTTATTATAATCATTTATCGCGTTTGAAATATGAAATATTTTATTTGCTTCTATGCATTTTAAACTTCATGTAATACATACATTAAAAAATGACTAATATTTTTAAAACTGAACAGTAAGTAAAAAAAAAAAGTATTCAAATATTTCACATAATTGACAACAACTAATTTTGTGAGAAAATATGTAGTTTTCTTTGAAATAGAATTTTTTACTAACTATAATAATCTTGTGAAGATTTTAACATGCTATAAAACTTTAATAATTTTTTTATATTCTTAAGTATTAATTATTTATGCTTTTAATTTTAATGAAATGTTTTTAAGTAAAGAACAAATTTTGAAGTTTTAGGAATGTTTAGTTTTTGCATTTTTTTAAATCACAAAAATTGATATAACTATAGCAAAAAAAAAAAAAAATTTCAGTTTTTTCTGTTCTAAATATTACAGGTGGCATTACTTAGGACCAAAACAACTACCTGTCATTTCAAGTTTTGGGTAAGAATTCCCATTATCGCATGTGTTTGTCCAAGGGAATAATGCTCATTGCTTTTAATATATTAGGTTAATTTTGATACTTATATGTTAGAGGATAATCATTTTTATTATGTATCAATACTTCACTAATAAACCCATCAAATTTTTACATTTAAAGCATGTAAAAATCCACATATAAATGTTGGTTGAAACGCATGCTTGATTAGGTTAAATGGTTCGCACTGGTTTAAAATGGCTAATATATTATAGTATTAGTTTTATAGTTAATAAATAAACTACTAGTAAATTTTGAACTTAATAACATAACTAATCTTAAATACTGTATTCTGTTATAGGAGTGGAATTTTAAACTTCTGTGCCGTTGCTTTAGCTTTGAATGATCTTGGATACAAAGCCATTGGCGTAAGAATTGATAGTGGAGATTTAGCTTATTTATCTAATAAATCTCGTGAAACTTTTATTTTGGTTGCTAAAGAGTGAGTATCAAATACAAATAATTTCTTTTGAATAGGGTTACTTTGATAATTTGGTCTATATAAAATTGTATAGGTTTAATATACCATGGTTCGCTAATTTAACTATTATTGCTTCAAATGACATTAATGAAGAAACAATTTGGAGTTTAAATGATCAAAAACATAGCATTGATTGTTTTGGAATAGGAACACATTTAGGTAAACTTAAAAATTAATAAAAATATTTTTTATCAATTTAATTTTTAAATATGCTTGAATTTTAGTTACATGTCAAAGGCAACCAGCTTTAGGCTGTGTTTATAAGTTAGTGGAAGTTAACAGCTTACCACGTATAAAATTAAGTCAAGATGGAGGAAAAATTACAATGCCTGGTAAAAAGGATGCTTTTAGATTGTTTGGTGGTGATGGTATGACATAAATTTATTAAAATAATAATAATTTTATTAAAATTAACAGAATAACTGAAATGATGAAAAATCATGTGTTCAGGTTATGCATTGGTAGATATGCTTGTTATGTCCAATGAAACACCTCCAGTTGCTAAAAATAAACTTCTATGTCGTCATCCATTTGATCAAAAGAAACGAGCTTTTGTTGTGCCATCAGCTATTAAACCATTATACAAAGTAATACTTTCAAAAATATATATTTTTTATTCTTATTTTAATCCATTGTAATAATTTTTATTAAGGTTTACTGGAAAGATGGTCAAATAACACAATATTTACCAGATTTAAGAGAAATAAGAGAACATGTCAAAGAATCTTTAAGGACTCTAAGACCTGATATAAGAAGGAATCTTAATCCTACACCATATAAGGTTTATATCAATTTGTATAATTTATTTTGAATTTATTTATTCAAATTAATTTCTCCTAAATAAAGGTTTCTGTTTCGGACAACTTATATGAGTATATGCATGAGTTATGGATGCGAAATTCACCAATTGGAGAGTTATCTTAAACATATAATCAAAGTGCAACTAAATTAAATTGTTACCATTCAATATTCTCTTTTAGATTTTTACCAAATCTATTATTACTTCACTATAACTTAATATGTTTATCTTATAGTAGTAAATATGTTATTAAATATTCAAACTTTTATAAAGCATTCATGAGAGAATATTTTGGTATTTTTATGAAACTGCATCTCTTTTAGTTTATATAATATTAGCATCATAATGTTAAGTTTTTTATTTTTATTCTATGTTGTTGTTTTACTAATGAAACCAAATAATTGAGTATTAATTGCTTTTTATTTTTCAAATTTAACAAGTTAATTCTAAATTTTATGTTTTACATAAATATAATATTTAAACATCACCATTATAATTTATTGTAAGAATTATTATAGATATAATTCTTGTGTTGGTACTTTTGTTATTTAATTTTTAGAATCAAATAGAGATAATTAAAAATGAACAAATTAAAAATATAAAATAATCTAAGAATTTTTAGTCTGACAATAGTACATCATCTAGTAAAGTGTTAATATAAAAAATGTATTTATTTTTGTTATCTTATTAGAAAACTTGTAAAATGTAAAAACTTGCATTCCTTTATTTTAGTTTGATTATTAAATAAGTTATTATTGGGATCAAAAGTTAATTGCATATTATTTATTTAATACATTTTTATGTTTCTAATGTTCACTATTTTTTTGTTTGTATTTGTTTAGTATGTTTTAATTGTTATGGAATGAAGATAATTATTTTTGAGTATTTTTCATTCTATATATTTTGAATTTTATTGTTTTTGATGTTGCTTCAGATTGTTATGTACTTAATTTGGAAAATGTTTACCTTTAAAAATTGTTAATAAATTATAAAAACTAAAATGTTTTTAGTATTTTTTAATAATTTGGCAGTATTCCAGGAATATATTTCAAGTAAAAAAAAAAAAAAATCAAAACAAATATTTTTTAAATGATTGATTTTTTGCATATATTTTATACATTTTATTTTTAATTTAATTCTTTATACACATTTAGTATAAACAACTACAAACAATGTGATATATTTTATTTTTTGGTTATAATCAATATGTACCACGCATAGATGATTTTTTTTTATAAGCATATACCAAAATACATAATTCAATTTTGATGAATTTATATACTATGCTTTGCCACACATACAGAGTAGAACAGATCTAACTAACAATACTTATAAGTAATATAATTTTTGCATTATTAAATTAAGTCAATAGCATATTTTAGCTTCGATACAAAGCAGAAAATGTAATAATTTTACTATGTGACCGATTTCTTACGTCAAAAGATTCATCATTATTATTACTATTTAGTGTTGATATTATAATGCTTTTAATTTATAAAGAAATAATATATCAGTAAAATCAAAACAAATGAAACATTTATTAAAATAAGGGCCCAATTTGTTATTTTTGTAATGTATAGTTTTTTAATGCAATTGTATTGTCTCAGCTTCGCATCGAAGCTTAATTTTACATGATATGTTTATTTATTTATTTTTTTTGTGTCTGTCTTCACTTTTTCTCAGCTCTAACTGGACCGATATTTCTGAATGATATGTCAAAAGATCACAAATCGTTTTTAATTGAAGACATTGTCTTAAAAATTAAAAAAATTACCTTGATCCATGTAAATGGGGGGAATACATAACATAATTACAACTTTGAAAATCAATCAATTTTAACATTTTTTTTTTTAAAACTGCCATAACTTTTTCAAAAATTATCAAATCAAAATAATTTTTTTTTACATAAAATAATTTTTCTCTGTCATTTGATTTCCATTTATTGATGATCTGAACCTTTACCTGCCCACAGAGGCCGATTCAAAATAAAAACTATTTCACCAAAAACAATTTTTTTAACTTTTAAAAATGTTTTGAAAATACTGCATCCTTTAAATATATGCTATACTAAAGCATATATTACGTACTATAAAGTAAAATTAAAATTTATCTTCTTCTTGCAAATAGCTGCCGTAGTTAAAAAAAAAACCCATCACAGGGGGGTCGCGGCACAGTGGTGACGTGACATAGTTGGATCAAGTATAATGATGTCTGACAGTGTTAAAAATCACTATAAAAAAAAACGCTTCGATGCAAATCTTTAAATAGTGTTTAATTTTAAAAAAATTGGTGTTTTATTCCAAAAGCTACTTGATCTGCTGGTTCCTTATTAATATCTCGATTAAGATAAAGTATGTCGAATGAAAAAGAGTTTATTAAAAAATATTATTTCTCATAAAAAAATTGTGTGGATCCATAAACTTTTCAATAAGTTATAGCATTATAAAGTTAAATATAATATAAATAATAAAATCGAGAATTTTCACACGAAAATAGCATTCGGTAGCCATTTTCGCCGTGAAGACAAGTCCAGAGGTCAAATTTTTTTTTTTCAAATTAAAGTATATTACATTAGCTTTAATTTAAGATATATATAAAAGTGTCAGACCTTCCGGAACATTTTCAAAAGTTATGTTGAAAAAGTAAATTTTTTGTGAAAAAGTTGTCATTTTAAATCCCCTCCTGTGGGCAGAAAAAAGGTCAAATTTACAAAAAAAATATACTAAATAATAGGTAAAGACATCAAGCATTTATAAAAAAAAAAAAAATTATATTAATATGTTCATTTTTGAAAAAGTTACGGCACATTTTAGTAAAAAAAATTGAAAAAATTTCGAAAATTAGCGATTTTTAAATTTGTAATTTTTTTGGAGGTTTCCCCCATTTACGGGGNAAAATTTCGAAAATTAGCGATTTTTAAATTTGTAATTTTTTTGGAGGTTTCCCCTATTTACGGGGAACGAGGGAAATTTTTTCAATTTTGAAGGTTAATGTTTTCGACTAGATACGATTTGTGATCTTTTGACGTATCGTTGAAAGAAATCCGTTCGGTGAGAACTGAGAAAAAGTAGTAACAGACACACAAAAAAAAAAAAACACATCTTAGTAAAACCAATACCTTCTCAGCTTCGGATCGAAGCTAAAATGCTACTTTTATGTTCAAATTTTATTTTTTTATTTTTAAATATACAAGGGTTTGCTATAGTAATGAGTCCATCAATTTTTATAAAATTTACATGAATCTACTTACATTAATTATAAATTTAAACTTTTTTTGATTATTTTACCTACTCAAAGTTAAAAAAACCCAGCACAGGGGGGTCGCGGCACAGTGGTGACGTGGTATAGTTGGATCAAGTATAATGATATCTGACAGTGATTAAAATCACTATCAAAAATAAACGCTTCGATGCAAATCTTTAGATTGTGTTTAATTTAAAAAAAATTGGTGTATTATTTCAAAAGCTACATGATCTGCTAGTTCCTTATTAATATCCTGATTAAGATAAATTATGTCGAATAAAAAAGGGATATAAATATTATTTCTCATAAAAAAATTATGTTGATCCATACACTTTTCAATATGTTATAGTATTATAAAGTTAAAAATGAAAAAAATAAAATCGAGAATTTTCACACGAAAATAGCATTCAGTAGCCATTTTTGCCGTGAAGACAAGTCTAGAGGTAAATTTTTTTTTTTTCAAATTAAAATATATGACATAAGCTTCAATTTAAGATATATATAAAAGTGTCAGACCTTCCGGATAGATAAAGACATGCATCTAAATAAAAAAAAAACGGTAGCACAGTGGGGTCGAGGCACAGTGTGGACGAGGCATAGATGGGACAAGTATAGATGATATCTGACAGTGATTAAAATCACTATCATAAGAAACGCTTCGATGCAAATCTGTAGATAGTGTTTCCTTTAGAGAAATTGGTGAAATATTTTAAAAGCAACATGAACTCTTATTTCTTTAATTATATCCTGATTAGTAGTTCTTTGATTTTAAAATATAATATATGAATAAATACTAATTATAGTTTTTAAATTTAGTATGAAATTGTGTGGCCAGCTATGATGTATGGTTCATAGTATTGGGCGGTTGATAAGAAAGTAGAGCAGAGAATAAGTGTAGCAGAGATGAGAATGCTTAGTTGGATGAGTGGAGTGACTAGAGAAGATAGGATAAGGAACGAGCATATAAGAGGAAGTATAGGTGTTGCGTCAATCGTGGATAAGATGACAGAAAATAGACTTNTAATCGTAGATAAGATGACAGAAAATAGACTTAGATTGTTTAGTCATGTTATGAGGAGAGAAGAATCGGGAGCTGTAAGAACAGTTTTAGAAATGAATGTTGAAGGAAGAAGAGATAGAGGAAGACCAAAAAAGAGATGGAGGGATGCTATTGAATGCGATTTGAGGACAGCTGATGTGAGCGTAGAAGATGTGGGAGATCGTGTCAAGTGGAAGCTTAGGATAAGGGTGGCCGACCCCAAGTAGTTGGGATTAAGGCAAAGAAAAAGAAAAATATTACCAGATATTCCGGTGGCAATTGACATAATATGATTGTTATTTCGGAATGTACAATTTAGCGTTTAGTTGGGTTTAAATAATATAGCGTCAAATCAATTACCTACTCTATCGGTTGTATCTCAATATACACTACACTTTAATGATACAATAAATAAATAAACTCACACATACACACATATGCATTTATAACATTGTGTCTAATGTAAGTATAACATGATAAAAAGTAACCGTAAAATGAAAAAAATGGAATATAAATTTTATTACTCATATTAAATGTAATGTAACTCGAAAAATATTTGTTTAAATGAAAAAATATAAGATTATATTTTTATTTATAATTGTCTTTTAAACAACTTTTGTGCGAAACTTTTTTTTGTAAGTTAAATATTTTTTTTTGAGAAAATTAAGAAAGCTCATATTTTTGAACTTTTGCGAGGATTTAAAAAAAAAGCTCAATTCCAATCTTGAGGACTATTAGTATGTCATTATACATATTTTAATTCAACTTTTAAAAAAACAAAATTTTTTCCGCAATTTTTCCTTTGTTGACAGGCCTAGATGTCAATTTTAAACTTGTAATTGAGCTAAAAGTTATGGTAATATATTCAATTTATTTTACTATAAACTTTCATAAATCTTTATCAAAAATTTTTCATCAACTTTAAAGAACCAAAAAAATAGGTTAAAATTGAAAATTTGGACTGATTATTTTTAACATATTAAAAATCAAATCAGTAATAATTTGAAAACAAATTTTTTTTTCTTTTAATTATTATTTTATATATATAATTAGTAATAATATAAAAAATTAGAAGTGATAGAAATAGTCTACTTGCAGATTTGAAAACAACGCGAAAATTTGATTTAGAAAAGTATATTTTTGCTTCTGATGAAAGTTCCTTGTAGTCCAGTGCATTTTTTTATAGTAACAAACAGTTTTTATTGAAAATTATTGTATCAA